GGGGGCAACAGTGGGAGGGCTCCTGGTGTCCTGGCCCCACTGCTGGACCTCCTAATGGCACCTGGTATTTTTGGCCACTGTGTGACACAGAGTGTTGGACTGGGTGGGCCATTGGCCTGATCCAACATCGGCGTCTCTTATGTTCTTATATGGAGCAGAGGTCCACCAGTGGCCATTAGCCACAAGGTACAGACAGGAACTCTCAATCTGGGGCAAGGGATGCTCTGTCTTCTTGGTGCTTCTGGGGGGGGGGCAACAGTGGGAGGGCTCCTGGTGTCCTGGCCCCACTGCTGGACCTCCTAATGGCACCTGGTATTTTTGGCCACTGTGTGACACAGAGTGTTGGACTGGGTGGGCCATTGGCCTGATCCAACATTGGCGTCTCTTATGTTCTTATATGGAGCAGAGGTCCATCAGTGGCCATTAGCCACAAGGTACAGACAGGAACTCTCAGTCTGGGGCAAGGGATGCTCTGTCTTCTTGGTGCTTGGGGGAGCAGCAACAGCGGGAGGGCTCCTGGTGTCCTGGCCCCACTGCTGGACCTCCTGTGGGCACCTGGTGTTTTTGGCCACTGTGTGACACAGAGTGTTGGACTGGATGGGCCATTGGCCTGATCCAACATTGGCTTCTCTTATGTTCTTATGTAACCCAGGGCAACAGCGGGCTGACCACTGAAGGGAGCGAATGTAATGCAGAATGAGGGGGGAAACCCAAAATAAATAGAAGGGTGAACTCGATTTTAGTGCAGAATGGAGGGGGGAGAGAAAACCTGGATTGAAAAGAAGGCTGAATTCGATTTTTAGCGGTGAATCGCTCGGTGAATCGCTCGGTGGACACCGCTCGGTGAACATGGATTAAGAGGAGAGTGGGGAAAGGGCACGCGAGCCCTGCTTGCCCGGCATTGGTAGCCCGTATGGCCACATGCTCTCGAAAAACCAGAAGTGCTACTGGGTCTGTGCTGAGTCCTACCGGGTGTGACCGAGGGAAGCTAACCACGCCCATGTACGTGCTCTCCCCCCCCCATCCCTTTTGACTCCTGCTGTCTCCGTGTAGGTGTCCAGTCTGAAAGACTACTTCTCCCTGAACGAGTCATCGCGTCCCCTGTGGTACACTCACAAACAAGCCCCCGTACACATCCTCGGCGGCATTCCAAAGAACAAGGTCATCCTCCTGTCGGACACGGGCTTTGACGATTACTTCTTAATAGAGGTAAAAGGGGAAAGAAGTGCTGGCGTGACTCTCTTCTTTGGGTCGTGAGCGATCTCTGCTTTGGGATAAGAATCTGCTGCAGAGGGTGGGGGGGAGAAAGAGGCAGACTCTGCAATTCCCCCAAGTGGCACAGTTCCAGAGGATGGCCACTTATGGGGGGGGGGACTTTGACGATTACTTCTTAATAGAGGTAAAAGGGGAAAGAAGTGCCGGCGTGACTCTCTTCTTTAGGACGTGAGCGATCTCTGCTTTGGGATGAGAATCTGCTGCGGGGGGTGGGGGGGAGAAAGAAGCAGACTCTGCAATTCCCCCAAGTGGCACAGAGTTCCAGAGGATGGCCACTTATGGGGGGGGGGGGGAGGACGGTGATCTTTTAGGCCAAAGTCTTCCCCAATAAGAACAGAAAAAGAGCCCTGCCCAGTGGCCCATCTAGTCCAGCATCCTATCTCACACAGCAGCCAACCAGTTCCTCTGGAGGACCAGCAACAGGGCATAGAGGCTGAGGCCTTCATAAGAACATCAGGAGAGCCCTGCTGGATCAGACCAGTGAGGGTCCATCTAGTCCAGCATCCTGTCTCACACAGCTGCCAACCAGTTCCTCTGGAGGATCAGCAACAGAGCATAGAGGCTGAGGCCTTCATAAGAACATAATAAGAGCCCTGTTGGGATCAGACCCAGTGGTCCATCTAGCCCCGCATCCTGTCTCACAGAGGGGCAGATCATTTCCTCTGGAGGGCCAGCAGCAGGGCAGAGAGGCCGAGGCCTCCCCCTGACGTTGCTTCCTGGCTCTGGGATTCAGAGGGTGACTGCCTCTGAATGTGGAGGTTCCCCTCAGCCACCAAGCCTACTAGCCGGTGATAGACTTAATCCTCCATGAATCTATCTAAATCCTCTTTTAAAGCTGTTGATTCCTGTGGCCATCACTACATCCTCTGGCAGCGAATCTCCCAATTTTAATCACTCTCAGTGTAAAGTGGTGTTTCTTTTTGTCTGTTTTGATCCTGTTCCTCCCCTCCTCCCATATCAGGGGCCCCCATGGGTGTCTTGTCGCCAGCCAACCCAGAAGCACTCTGGCATCTGGATCTGCCGCTGACTGTTTCTCATGGAGGCAAGGCGCCTTCCCTTTGGGGCGATTCCCACAAGCACTTGAGTGAGCACCTCCATAGCAATGTTCCCTCTGAGCCGTGGAGTCCTGTGAGCAGAAATTCTACTTTGTGAGCGACTGGCATTAAAGTTGTGAGCGAGGGATTTGGCCGCTGTATAAATTAGTTGGCTCTGGAGCCCTCCTTCCTGAGCTAAGACAAAAATGTGTGAGCCGGAGGCTAAAAAACCGGCGAGCTAGCTCACATTAACTTGGCTTAGAGGGAACACTGCTCCATAGACGGCTTTATTTAAACATATTTATCTCTTACCTTTCTGCAGGGATCATTTCATAGAAAAAGAGGTGCAGGAGCTCATTCGCGTAACTCATTAGCACAACTCATTTGCATAGGCCACACCCCCTGACATCACCGGAAGTGTGTCAGAAGGAAACACCCCAGCCTTCACTGGACTGTTTTGGATTGCTGACTATTGGGGGGGGGGAAACGTGCAGATCTGTCCTCGCAGAGGAGGGAGAGCTTGTACCTGAATAAAACCTGGTCTTAAAGGTGCCACTGGACTGTTTTGGATTGCTGGCTATTGGGGGGGGGACGTGCAGATCTGTCCTCACAGAGGAGGGAGAGCTTGTACCTGAATAAAACTTGGTCTTAAAGGTGCCACTGGACTGTTTTGGATCGGGGGGGGCGGGGCTCTGCAGCTTACCCGGCTGCTTCTTGCTCTGACTGAGGGCTGCTGGGAGCAGGGGGCAGGGATTGTTTCATGTGCCCACCTCCTGGGCTCTTTACTGCTGGAGCTCCGCTCCTGTGCGCTCCTGGAGGAAATGACCCCTGCCTTTCTGACAAGCCCTCAAAGCTGTTTCCTGGTAGTATTCCTAGATCTATGAGAGACCAAGCAAATGAGCACGGAAAGACTGGGGGGCGGGGGACAGGGAGGGTTCGGGCGAGACTTCCTCCTCGCCGCCGCCTGCCCACTAGTCCCTTTTGTCCCTTTGGTGTCTGTCGCAGGTGGCCATCGACAGCTGCTGGATCAGTAGCCAGAAGTGCCCCTGGGACCAATTCTCTTCCAGCATCTACGACGCCATCGCCACGGAAAGCACCCTCTTCGTCCGCCAGAACCAGCTGGTCTATTACTTTACGGGGAACTACAGCGCCTTATACATGAACACCTCAGGGTCTGGTGAGTGGATCGGGAGAGGCCGGAGATGGCCCAGAGACCCCCCCCCCAGGTGCTGTCGGACGACACCCTTGATCACTCATAATGTGACTGCCCGCCTTCGTCATAAGAACATAACATAAGAGAAGCCAATGCTGGATCAGGCCAGTGGCCTATCCAGTCCAACACTCTGTGTCACACAGTGGCCAAAAATACCAGGGGCCATCCGGAGGTCCGGCAGTGGGGCCAGGACAACAGAAGCCCTCCCACTCTTGCCCCCCCCAAGCACCAAGAATACAGAGCATCCCTTGCCCCAGACCAAAAGTTACTATCTATATTCTCTCAGAGCTCTCTCAGCCCCACCCATCTCTCAGGGTGTCTGTTGTGGGGAGGGGAAGGGAAAGGAGTTTGTAAACTGCTCTGAGACTCCTTTGGGTAGTGAAGGGCGGGGTAGAAATCCAATCTCCTCCTCCCCCTCCTCCTCCTCTTCTTCTTCTTCCTCCTCCTCCTCCTCTTCTTCTTTCTATACCCTGTGGCTAATATGTTTTATTCCCGGCGTTTGCCGCTTGTTTGCCGCCCTGGGCCGTATGGGTAGGGCGGGATATAAATCCCAAAATAAAGTAAAATAAATAAATAAATAATAGCCATGATGGACCTCTGCTCCATATGTTTATCCAATTCCCTCTTGAGGCTGTCCATGCTTGTAGTTGCCGCCACCTCCTGTGGCAGTGAATTCCACATGTTAATCACTCTTTGGGTGAAGAAGGACTTCCTTTTATCTGTTCTATCCCGACCGCTCAGCAATTTCATGGAGCGCCCATATTGTTCTTGTATTGTGAGAAAGGGAGAAAAGTACTTCTTTCTCTACCTGCTCCATCCCACGCATAATCTTGTAAACCTGGATCATGTCACCCCCTCCTGACTCTTGGTCCGGTGTCCCACTAGAGCTGTGGACCCGCATACTGGCCAAGCAGTGCGTGAGGAAGCTGAACCCAGTGGATTTAACAAAGAATAACACCGAGTACGTGATTGCCCTCGGCGGAGGCTGGCAGGAAGGCGAATTCTTCGTCATCACGGTGTCAGGTAGTGTCAAATTCAGGCCCGGTTAAGCCGCTGGGGATCATTGGTAGATTATTGCAGGGGAAAGTGACAGAGTCTCTCGGTTTCTCAGACTTCCCCAGAGCTTTGGCGAAGGGGTGGGGCAAGTGGAGATCACCACGCCGAAATGGCTGCCGCGGGAGCCGGAGCCAGTTACTAAAATGGCCACCCCAGGGGACAGAGCCAAAAGCGAAACTCCCCTCCCCTCTTTGTCAACACGGGCAACCCTTTCATGTGAGCGAGGAGAGCCAATAACAAGCCCTGTGTTGCAGTGGCTCCACCCATTTTCCGAAAGACTTGGAAAATGCCGGCAGCTTTCATGGTGCCGACGGGCACCGTGTTGGGGAACCCTGGGTAGGGACTAGCACAATTGGCTCCGGTCTCTGCAGCTCCCTCCTTGCAAGGGGACGCACAGGCTGAATCACAGGCCTGCCTTCCCTTGAATCCCTGCTTCTGGAAGTGCTACAGAGAAGCCCCATCTCCTTCTCGCCAATGCTGGCACTCAAGTTCCTGGGGAGCTGTCCAGCAGGGTCAGCAATGCCCGCGAGTTCCGCTCTAAGTCCTTGTTGCCAAAACAGTGGGGGGAAACTGCCTTGCTGGGTAGCCAGGGCTACAGGAAGAGACAAGGGGCTGGGCAAGAGGGGTGTGGCTTCAGTGGAGGTTTTTACGTCTGGCCCCGCAGAGCCCCCGCGGGTCCTCGTGGGCAAAGATCAGCAGCACAGGGGAAGCTCGGAGAGACCCAGAGGACTCATTAACCTGCAGAATTGCTTCCTTTTTTCACCAGACGGGATTGTGAAGCACGCTGCATCCAGCAGGAAGTCGGCCTGTACCGTTCTCAAAAGTAGGTCCTTTTGGTCATCTTTGCCTTGATTTTTTTTTAAAAAATGTTATCAATCACCAGAGGGCTCCCCCAAAACAGCCACAGGTTCTCAGAGTTTGAGACCGCCAAATTCTCCTGGGCTGTGCCCTTAACAATGCCCCCACTTGCAAAAGAGTTACCTCCCCCCCAGCCGAATCAGTTTGTTTCTGTTGAAGTTTAGAAGCAGCGAACCTCACCTTGGAAGCGTTTCATGAAATCAGAGCGCTAAAAATCCTCTGTTTGGAAGTGGTATTCCGGGCAGGCCCAGCTTAGGAAAGGTTGAAGGAGCTGAGTATGTTTAGCCTAGAGAGGAGATGACTGAGAGGTGATATGATAACCATCTTCAAGTACTTGAAGGGCTGTCATCTAGAGCAGGTATGTCCAACAGGTAGATCGCAATCTACCAGTAGATCACGGAGGGGTCAGAGGTAGATCACCAGCTCCACTTGGTCTCCTGGTTTGCTGGACAGCTTTTTGGGTTCTTTTGATGATTGGTGCTATTTGACCAATACTTGACCTACATTTAACACAAATAACTCTGAATAAAAGTTAAAGAAAGTTATTGAGACAGTTAGTTATAACTCATTAAAAAATAAAAAAATGTTAGCAGTTCTTTCTGGATCTTCATCTCTCTGTTTTGTTTTTGCTTATTTTGCTTACCAGTAAATGACAGAAGGTGCATTATAAATGGGGGGGGGGGAGCACGGTGGAACCCAACTTTAGTGGGTCAAAATCTAATTTGAAACTAATTTGAAACTTTATTTTCATGGTGGTAGACCATGCTCCCTCTAAGATATGGAGTCCTGTGAGCAAAAATTCTACTTTGTGAGCTACTGGCATTAAAGTTGTGAGCCAGCGATTTGACTCCTGCATGAATTAGTTTGCTCTGGAGCCCCATCCTTCCTGAGCTAAGTCAACAATGTGTGAGCCAGAGGGGAAAAAACTGTGAGCTAGCTCACACTAACTCAGCTTAGAGGGGACACTGTAATAGATCACCGGCACTTTTGGCCGGAAAAAATAGATCACTACCTGTTCGAAGTTGGATATGCCTGTATAGTATAGTATAGTATAGTATAGTATAGTATAGTATAGTATAGTATAGTATAGTATAGTGGATGGTGCAGAGTTGTTTTCTGTTGCCCCAGAAGGTCGGACCAGAACCAACAGATTGAAATTAAATCAGAAGAGTTTTCGGCTAAACATTAGGAAGAACTTCCTGCCAAAGCAGTTCCTCAGTGGAAGAGGCTTCCTTGGGAGGTGGCAGGCTCTCCTTCTTTGGAGGATTTCAAACAGAGGCTAGATGGCCATCGGACAGCAATGCTGATCCTGTGACATTAGGGAGCTCATGAGAAGGAGAACAGGAAGGGTTGCCTCAGTGCTTCGTTCTTGTGTCCCTTTCTTACACGACCAGGGAAATGCTGATTGTCAGGAAGCCATTTTTCTCCAGGCCAGTTTGGCTGGAGATCTTGGAGGTTTTTTGTCATCTTCCGGGCACGGAGCAAGGGGTCACTGGGTGTGTGTGGTGGGGGAGGTACTTGTGAATTTCTTGCATTGGACTAGATGACCCTGGAGGTCCCTTCCAACTCTAAGATTCTATTATTCTGTTTAATTACATTCCTCCTTTCTCATTGAGTCGCAAGTGTAAGTTGCCCGTGACACAACCTCACACCTAAGAATCTTTTCTAGCTCCCGCGTGGCTCCCCTTCTCAGTCTGGATCTCCTGATTTCTTGGCTGCAGTCACAATTTTGGTTGATGACAGAGCCAAGGAGCAGGAAACCCCAAACAAATGTCAGTTTCTGCGTTGTCAGCCTTGAAGTTGTGCCGTTCCCCCGGTAGTCCTCACTTTTGTCTTCCCGACCCTTTCATTTCTAGGGCGCTGCATACTACATTCAGTTGTGTTTGATATCGAACGGAACAGTTTCTTTCTGCTGGTAGAAACGAACTTGGAAAGCAACGCTTCTACTTACTACATTATGGCATACCGCCAAGGTGAGGATGGCGTTTGGGGGCAGTTGGGCGTATAAGACACAGATCGGCTCTGTAGGTTTAAGACAGGAGAGCCAGGGGTCCCTCCGTGTTTGTGTGTGTGTGTGAGAGAAGGAGAGAGAGAGAGAGAATCGACACCTGTTTGGCAGAAGGTTACCTACAGAGGCTCGCTGATTTTATTTATTTAATTTAGTTTCTATCCCGTCCTTCCCACAAGCTGGCTCAGGGCGGGTCACAACATTAGGATAAAACAATAAAACGATAAACTTAAACCCTTAGACGATGGCGAAGAAACTAGATCACAGCTATTTCAGTGGTGCCCTAGTGTCAGACAATAAGAACAGGAGGGCTGGATCCGAAAAGAGGATGAATACCTTACCTCGGGTAGACCAAGGTGGCTATCATTCTGTGTGATACCTTACCTCGGGTAGACCAAGGTGACTATCATTCTGTGTCCTCGAAAATTCTGTGTCCTCGAAAATTCTTTGTCCTCGAAAATTCTGTGTCCTGGAAAATGGTAACAGAGAGGTTACAGGAGGGGGCAGGTGATATCTGACGTCTGCCGCCTCACCAGCCCCGCAGCCAGAAATTTTGGGTTGGTGGGGCACGGGGAAATTTTGTGGGACAGCAGGTGCGGTGGAGGGGCACCCGCACACCTTCCCTGAACTCCAAGCGGTGATTTCACTACTTGGAGTTCAGGGAAGACCTGCAGCTGCCCCTTTCCTTTCCTTCCTGCAAGATTTAAAGGGCCCTCCAGTTGGGAAAAAGATAGTCGCGGAAGTAGTGACAGACTTCACGTTCTTGGGATCCCAGATCAGCGCAGACTGTGACAGCAGCCATGAAATTACAAGACGCCTGCTCCTTGGGAGGAAAGCGATGGCGAACCTAAACAGCATGATAAAAAGTAGGGACATCACCCTGCCAACAAAAGTCCGCATGGTCAAGGCAATACTGGGTATTCCCAGTAGTCATGTATGGCTGCGAGAGTTGGACTATAAGCAAGGCCGAGTGCCGAAGAATAAATTCTTTCGAACTATGGTGCTGGAGAAGACTCTTGAGAGTCCCTTGGACTGCAAGGAGATCAAATCAGTCAATCCTAAAAGAAATCAACCCTGACTGTTCCCTGGAAGGCCAGACAATGAAACTGAAGCTGAAATACTTTGGCCACCCAATGAGAAGGGAGCACTCACTGGAGGAGAAGACCCTGATGCTGGGAAAGACTGAAGGTCAAAGAAGACGGGGACAGCAAAGGATGAGATGGTTGGACAGTGTCATCGATGCAACGAACATGAAATTGAGCAAACTTCAGAGGACAGCGGAAGACAGGAGGGCCTGGCGTGATCTGGTCCATGGGGTCGCAAAGAGTCGGACTCGACTGTGCGACTGAACAACAACCAGTTGATTGGCGGGCCACTTGCTCCCACCAATCGGCCGGAGGGCCCTTTTAATGTTGTGGGGCGTGCCTCACATTTGAGGGGGCAGAGCCCCGAAACGCCCCACTGTAGCTGCGGGCCTTGTGCCTCATCCGAAAGCCTGGCGGAAGAGCTCGGTCTTACATTGCGTGATAACTTCGAGAGGGAAGTTAGGCAGAACCGGTGAGGTGAGTGTGGTTTCCAGGTTCAGAAATACCTGGAGATTTGAGGGTGGTCTTCAGGGAGGGAACTCAGTCGAGGATAAGGCCACCCAGCTCACCTTCCAAAGCGGCCATTTCCCCCAAGAGAAGTGGAATAGACGTTTTTTTTAAATGAACAAACGATGAATAAATAAGCTGTCGGTGTAGTCTGGGCCCTGACCCGGGAGGCCCGGACTCACCCGATCTCATCAGATCTCGAGATCTCGGAAGCCAAGCAGGGCCGGCCCTGGCTGGTACTCGGACGGGAGACCCACCAAGGAAGCCCAGGGTCATGACACAGAGGCAGGCAGTGGCAAACCACCTCTGAACGTCCTCGACCTTGAAAACTCTGCGGGGTTGTCATGCGTCAGCTGTGACTGGACAGCACTCCACACATACATACACACAAACGCGCGTCATCTGGAGATCAGTTGTCATTTTGGGCAATCTCCAGCCCCCTCCTTGGGGTTGGCAACCCTGGAGGTTGCCCAGCAAGCTTTGAGATTGATCGGACATATCATCCGGGCCTTCCCATGACCTAGCATAGCCTAGCGGTGCTCTCCAGTTTGGTGCAGTGGTTAAGTGCGCGGACTCTAATCTGGGAGAGCCGGGTTTGATTCCCCACTCCTCCACTTGCACCTGCTGGATGACCTTGGGCAAGCCATAGTTCTGTCAGAGCTGTTCTTGGAAAAGGGGCATTTTCTGTCAAGAGCTCTCTCAGCCCCACCTACCTCACAGGGTGTCTGTGGTGGGGAGGGGGACGGAAAGGAGATTTGTAAGCCGCTCTGAGACTCCTTTGGGTAGCGAAGGGCGGGGTATAAATCCAATCTCCTCCTCCTCCTCTTCTCCTCTTCCTCCTCCTCCAGTTTGATTCCCCGCTCCTCCACTTACACCTGCTGGATGACCTTGGGCAAGCCATAGTTCTGTCAGAGCTGTTCTCTCAAGGACAGTTCTCGGGAGAGCTCTCTCAGCCCTACCTACCTCACAGGGTGTGTCTGTTGTGGGGAGGGGAAGGGAAAGGAGATTTGTAAGCCGCTCTGAGACTCCTTTGGGTAGCGAAGGGCGGGGTATAAATCCAATCTCCTCCTCCTCTCCTTCTAGAGTGGGGGTCCCTGAAGATTTCTGAGCCTGTGCGGGCACCTTTGGAATTCCAACACAACGTGGTGGGCACAGCCGCAAAATGGCCGCCCCAAGAGGTGGAACCAGACACAAAATGGCTGCCGCAGCTTACCTTCACTCAAACAGTTCAGATCCTGACGCTGTGGCAGCAGCTGCCGCCAAAGCAACGTTTTAAAAAATCCGCCGAGCCAATCAAATCTCCGGTGGCCAATCAGAAACCTCGCTGGGCAAAAGCCCCTTCCCTGGTTCCACCCACCGTCTAAGAACACTCAGCGGGCACCGGGAAAGGTGTCGACAGGCACCATGGCACCCAGGGGTGGCACATTGGGAACCCCTGCTCTAGACCACGGTAGCACTCTAACTTCTGTGCTATGCGAGGTCATGAGTTTGGATGCTGTGAACTAAACCTCTTCTCAAATGCTTCTGTGGGCCATAGTGAGGGTTTAAATGGGGAGGAGATGCTTCCAAGTCTTGCCCAGCAGATGTCTTCTGAGTCCAGGCATTTCGTTCTCACATGTCTCCCTGTTCAGCTGCAAGGGAGAGCAAGGTGGGCAGCTGTCTTGGTCTGAAGCAACAGAATCGAGTTCGAGTCAAGGGGCACCATGAAGACCAACAGAGCTTTATTCAAGGCGCGAGCTTTCATGTGCACGCACACTGCTCTAGAATGGAAACGTTGACTCCTGTGGGAATTTGAAACCGGGAGAAGTTGCAGTGCACTCATACTTATAATGTCAGCTGGGTTGGGTGCGCATGGGGCTGAAATGGTGATTTATTTATTTTTTTTTGGGGGGGGGAATCTCCAATGCTCCCTCTAAGCTGTGGAGTCTTGTGAGGAAAAATCCCACTTTTTGAGGTACTGGCGTTAAAGTTGTGAGCGAGCGATTTGGCTGCTGCATGAATTAGTTCACTCTGTCGCCATCCCTTTCTGAGCTAAGACAAACGTGTGAGCCGGAGGCTGAAAAACTGTGAGCTAGCTCACACTAACTCGGCTTAGAGGGAACACTGGTCATCTCCTGCAAATGTGCCCAGTGTCTGGGACTAGTATGTTGAAAATCTCCAGGACTTCAGCTTTAGAAGTTGGGCTCTCTTTGGGAGGGGGAGCCAGTTTGGTGTAGTGGTTAAGTGCGCGGACTCTAATCTGGGAGAACCAGGTTTGATTACCCACTCCTCCACTTGCATCTGGCTGGATGACCTTGGGCAAGCCATAGTTCTGATACGAGCTGTCCTTGAAAAAGAGCAGTTTCTGTTGTGGTGTCTGTTGTGGGGAGGGGAAGGGAAAGGAGTTTGTACACCGCTCTGAGACACCTTTGGGTAGTGAAGGGTGGGGTATAAATCCAATCTCTTTTCTTCTTCTTCTTAATAAATAAGTTGTCTCAGAATCTCAGCCTGTTAGAAGCCCCTTGCTGATGAGCTGTAGACCGCTCTTGCTTCACACTACTCACTTGGGGTCCCCCCCCCCTGGTTTGATTTGCAGACACGGAGCACTACGAGGTTCTTTCCGTTATACCTCAATTCATACCCGAGGGTAAGAAACAATATTCCTTGATATTCATTTATGACCGTGAGGGCAAATCCAAGGTCTGGGTCTGCAGTCCTGTACTGAGCTGTACAGCCTAGATAGTGTCACGGGCTGGGGGTGCCAGTCAAAGGGAGTCCAGAACAGACCGAGGTCAGGAGCCAAGAAGACAGTGCAAACTCCAAAGCCAAGCCAGGGTCAGGAGCCGGAAACACAGAGCCAGATCCAAAATCACTAACCAGAGGCGTAGTACCAGGGGTCATTTAGTAGAAAAAGAGCTAGGGGAACTCATTAGCATAACTCATTAGCATATGTCACAC